CCCATCTTCCTACCCTCTCCAGCAGCATGTGTGCACCCTCCTACCCATAAGCTCTAATACACTTCAATTATAATGTTTATATCCATTCACTGAGGTATTATTGTACTGGAGCTGGCTGAGAAATTTTACTTTGCCAATGTTTACTGCGTTATATACACTGCTCCACTATGAACATTGAGCTGTACATTTTATACACCAGTGAACTCTGTATGCTATATATTGCATAGTTAAGAATGGACCTCTCTCTGCATGGTGCCCTACATGTACAGAACACCGTTTATATCTGTGATTAAATCTATCATTGTTGTCCATGCAATATAGCTGCTAACACTTGAACAGTGTGACCACCGATGTCAGTCCTTTCTCTGCCCTCACAATTCTGCATGAACTCTTCCTAAATTGTTTGCATTCTTTAAACCCTTTTCCTATCCTCTGCAGTGCCTTGTACATGAGAATAATAACAAACACAGAGAAAAACTGTAGGTATGTTTTACTCAAATTGCTCCTACTGTCTAATAACTCTCTCATTTTTGTAACCAGGGCGCACATACGAGTCTCCAAGTGTGAGCATATTAATTCAGTCGATAAATTGCATGCAGGTGTACCAGGAGGTAGTCTACTCCTCCTTATAAGGTGCAGGGATGCACTGGAGGCCCAGCAACCAAAAATGCACGCTGGGACCCCTAGTGCGTCCCCACATCCAAAATAGTCAAACTAGAAAAACATGGTACCTGCATGAATCTATAACCAGCCTTTATGGCAGGGCTGGCATTTACCATTCTCAGCCTAATTTGAAATTTCACCTAAAAAAAAAAGGGGTGCGTGTTACTGTAAGGAAAGAATACATATTTTAAATAGAAAATATATATATATATATATATATATATATGTGTGTGTGTACATGTTGCTAACAACTCCCATATCTCTGCTTATTCTGTAAACCAAGAAATGTATCTACATATTTTTTTGAAGTCATCAAAGCTTTTAGCTGATATCACTAAGGGAAGTCCACATTTTTACTGCTCTGACAGTAAAAAAAAAAACCCATAGGCAGTCTGAGATAAAACTGCATCTCGTCCAATTTCTTGTGCCTACCACGTCATCTTCAGAGTTCTTTAGACAGTTTATTCCCGATACTGCAGTCCTGATTGACGAATTGGCAAATTGCAACCACAAGTGTAGTTTTTGTAGTTGATCTTTATAACCCAGACACTACATCCCCCTTATTAATTATGTCAGCCTTCTCTGAACTTTCTCTAGTGCAAGGCAGGTAGGTCAGGGGAGGCAGGTGAGGCACATCCTCACCTAGTATTATGAAGAAAAAAGGTGTCAGCTTCAAGTCAGCTTCGGTCACATCTCTTGCCTTGAAGAAGGGACCCTGTGTGGCCCCGAAACGTCGGCTCATGTTGGATTTCTGTGACATCATTGTCCATTAAAAGGACTTATTCATTTTAACTCATGGAGTGCTGGTGACCTATTTCTTCAAGCTTCAAGTCTGAATCTGACAGCTTTTTCTCCATTCAGACCAGCTTGTAACGGGTTACACAGCAGGGAAAGCCTCCCCGCTGTGTAACCTGTCAGTCATGGACGGAGCGCTGCCTGTTAATTACAGGCGGCCCTGTATCCGCCTTTTGACAGGTAGTTAGGTTACACAGCAGCGGGCTTCCCCACTACTTGTGCCACCTAAATTGGTGAGGCAAGAGCTGTCACAGCCTCTACTCTGTGTTAGAGGCGTGAGCTCTGTGGATGGCTTGGACCAATGGCAAAGCACCATATGTCCAATCTGTCCAATAAAAAAAAACAACCAAAAAAACCAGTGAGGACATCGATCTTGATGCCTCCCCAGTGACGAGCAAGTGAGGGACAGAGAGGCTCCTCCCTGTCTCCTCCCTTCCTTCTCCCCACACAGCTTGGTTACTGAGCTGGGGGCGGGGCTTCGGTAGTACTGGGGCAGAGCTTCAGCGGGACAGGGGTGGAGCTATGGATGGCTGGGGAATGCCTCACCCAGCACAGAAGGCACGGCATGTCACTGGTGCAAGGAGATTCTTCCTGAGGTTTGGGGGCCAAAACTGAACCACATACTCAAGATATTCTATCCCCGACTTGCCCAGCAGAGCATCTCCTAAAGTGTATTCTGCATGCATGTTCTTAGCTCAATCTGCAGAACTTTACATTTTTCAATATTGTACCGTATCTGCCAAGTTGCACCCCACTTGTAGCGGAAACTATGTACACCTTTCTTATTCACATGGGGGGAGAAATCTGGGGCCCCCTTATTTTAGAAGAAAGAGGCCCCTGTACCCATCAACATGGGAACAAGGTGTTTTACCAGGGGGCACCCTATCCATGTTGAGGGCATGTGGCCTGGTATGGTCCAGGTGCATGCTCACTGCTCCCTCCATTTCTGGACAGCCAGGCCGCATGCTTGGTTAAGAGTCTAGTATGGAATTATTATTAGTATTATTTCCCCCAAACATCTATAACAGACCCTGGTGAAGATTTTGGGGTGAACCTCAGGCTGTTTTTTTGTTTTGTTGAGTTTTTTTGGGGTCTATAGTATTAGTGAATGTAATCTGCTCCCTGCCAAATGGTATTTTTATTTTTTTTTGGAAATTGGCACATGCTCTTCAGGGCAGTGCCCAGCACTCAATGTCCTTTGTTTTATTTGGTGGGTCCCCATGCCGTTTGTTGCAGCAAAAAACAAGCTGCAGGGTAATGTAATTTACCATCCAGAATTTCAATAGTATTTTTTTTGTTGCAAATATCACTTTCACTTGTGTACATCCTACAGTGGCACCACAGAAACTCCAGGGAGGTTTAGGGCATGCCCCAATCATATAATTGTGCATTTTAGTGTTGCCCTTTAGGCATTATTAAAAGCACTACTCCCCTTTAAATGCATTGATACCTGTCCCTCCTGGCAGTGGCCAGCTCTCCATGCCTATTGCTTGGCAATCCTTTGCCTTTGAGCCTTGAAAATGGCCAGAAATATTTTGATTTGTAAATGATCTGCTGCTATCATCTAATTTTATCACCTCCCTTTCTCATATCCAGAGTCTGTCATGGGCTGCCCCACTTATCTGGAATACTTACCACCATTCTGTCAATAAATGCTTCAAAGGCTCCCTAAAACACATCTCAGGGAATTCTAGTATAATCCCTAGCCTTCTATTTCCAGTCCTCAGCTTCTTTACAGACTTGTCCATTGTGTACAATTTACATCCACTTCACCCCTTCTTGGACTTATTTACTATTTCTAACCAACTTTGTCCTGTTGAATTCATATTACCTGTCCCTAAATCAGGAAGTAGCTGTTCAGGATCCCAACCCCCCTAAGCAGTTTTACTATACAGATCTGTGCCAGCCGGATTCCAGGTGTGAGCTGACTGTGTGTAAATGTCTGATATCATTATATATTCAGAAAAAAATGGCTATTTCTTCCCTCTCTAGATTTCTTATGCCTTCAGTATCATTCATTGTAACATTTTAAGTGCAAAGTGAAACAAAACTAAATGCTTTAAGTGTGCCACCTAGTGGTGATTTGGAGTTTTACACTGTATTCTACTTTTACCATCAGATTTTTCTATAGCATTGACAATTTACACAGCACTTTACATACTCTACATTCACATTAGTCCTTGCCCTCAAGAAGCTTACAATCTAATGTCCCTAAATCACATGCACACAGAGCCAATTTAGACAGGAGCCAATTAACTTCCCATCATGTCTGTGGAGTGTGGGAGGAATCCACCTAACCAAGCACAGGGAGAGCATGCCCACCCCATACAGGTAGTGTCCTGGCTGGTATTCAAACTGAGGACCCCAGTGCTGCTAGGCAGATGTGCTAAACACTAAGGCATATTTGCTTAATTCTTAAGTGTAGTAACGTATAGCAACACATTAGAATCCATCTTTATTTCCCATCTGCTCTGGTCTGGCTTCAGCAACATATTTTCTATTTGCTTACTAAGTGGTTCCTTTAGTTAAGATTTAGCACCCAAGTATAAGATTTGTTTTCTTTGAATACTGCCATTAGCCACAGTATTGATATTTATACATCTTGATCACCTTTCCTGTGTAATCACTCAATGTACAACACATAAAAGTTTGTAACAGGAAACTAAATGTACAATATATTTTTGATTGTAAAATAACAATACAAATCCATAAATAAAGTCCATTTTGTTATAAATAAAATATTTGTGTTTATTTCTTTTAAATATGTTTCTTCAAAAACCACCGTTGCGTATCCACTTCAATCACTGTGCAGTCCTCCACCAGAGCTCATACAGAAAACTCATCAGAGGGATATGATCTTTTTGTCTAAAAACACTTTCCACAATGTATTTCTTCCTCTATGTATTATTCCACTACATGCAATGCAATACACAATAATACTCTGATCGTTTAATACAGCCTTTTGTTTATTTTTTGAAATCCAGTAATAAATAAAATCACATTTGAATGTGCTGAACTGCATTGGTTGGCCAGCTCAGAATTTTTATACTACCACAGAACCATGACCCATTGGCAACACCCATCATCCTTTGCTCCTCTGCTTATACAGGATTTTCTTAAAAGAACGCCTAGCTCCAACTCCACAGTGGGAAACACTATCATGGAAGCAGCTTTTGATTTGTAAATTAGGAAAACCATGTGCTATGTGAAATGGAAGGGTGTTAGAATTTATTAAAAAATATAAATATTAGACACAAAAAAAAACGGATTTGGTCTGCTCAGTAAAGGAACCAACACCCACAGATACTTTATTGAGTTCCAGAAAGATATGTGCATAAAAATTATATTTAATAAACTATAAAAATGCAGAGCTTTAATTTCTTAATTTGACAATAGACATAGAGTATTTTATTTATGTATTTATATGTAAACTTGCCTTTTTTTTTCTCTGTTAGGTAAACTTTTCACATCAGCTTTATACTAACAGATTGATCAATGGGTAGAAAAAGCTGAAAATACAGAAAGACAATAAAGTTGACCCACTTTCAACCTTTGCTCCAACAAGTTAACGTTTCACCAGGTAACTGTACTGCAGTACAAATTCTTGGATTTGCCTTGTGGGAGTATATAAAGGGACGATATCTCCAATCCCTGTTCCTGTAGCATCTCCACTCGACACCATGGGAAAGGGCTTTTATGTAAGCAAGCTCATAGCCTTTGTTGCCATCTTTTTTGTCATAGCTGCAGTGGCTACAATCATTGCACTATCGGTAGTTTATGCTAATGAAAAGTCAAATAATAATAAAGAAGAAAATGGGGGATCTTCAACCACCGCCACCACCACCACCACCACCACTGTCTCCACCACCACCACCACCACATCGAATCCTACCACACCTGTATCAAATGAACCTTGGGACAAGTACCGGCTTCCAAAGACTCTGATACCTGATCACTATGATGTTGATCTCAGACCTGTCTTGGAAAAGGACACTCGTGGACTTTATGTCTTTCATGGAAAAAGTGTTGCACACTTCAGAAGTGTAACTCCCACCAATCTTGTTATTATCCACAGCAACAGACTTAATTATACTAATATTGTGCTCAAGGATAATGCAGATCGAGACATCACCATAAATAGCAACTTCATAGTGCAGAGGACCACATACCTGGTGCTGCAACTTGCTCAGAGTCTGCAAAGTGGTAACACATACAAGCTTCACACAGAATATATTGGAGAACTGGCAGATGACCTGGCAGGATTTTACCGCAGTGAATATGTGGAAGATAATACAACCAAGTAAGTAGTTATATAGAGTGTAATATGATTGCTGTGAAAAAGAAAGCAATGAAGCTTTCCATAAAACAGCAAAATTTGATAAGTGTAACTATAACTATGAACCTACATGTTTTACCGTAGATAATGTTGTAAGTTTGGTGATTAGTCTGCCTACTACTCTCACAAGTATTACTGTTACCTGATAAATCCTGGATTATTCCATGTGGACCCCATATATATAGATCTAGGCTAAGCATGCTTTTGGTTTTAGAGAAATGAATTATGTTGCAGAAATATCCTTTAGGCAGAGATGTGCAATCTGCACGTCACATCTTGCACCAAAGTCCTACTCAATTTTTGGAATTTTTAGATCATTAAAGATGACGGGGGGAATTTATCAAAACTGGAGCAGACAAAATCTGGAGCAGATTTGCACTGCAACCAATCAGCTTCTCTATCTAATTTTCAAATCTTACCTGAGCAAACTGGAGAGATTCTGATTGGTTGCCATGGGCAACTACTCCAGATTCTGTCTGCTCCAGTTTTGATAGATTTCCGCCGTATTTTAGACTGACTGTGTCTCAGAGACTCACAGATACTTGTGTTTCCAACATAGACGTAGGTTGAGCACTCCTAACCTAGATCATTCTCTGTGATTGTATTTGAATTTGACTGAATTTGAATTATATTTGAGAAATAGTAGTACAACATATGTTTTTCAAGCTAATGTCTTTTTTGTTAACAGGATTATTGCCACCACCCAAATGCAAGCACCCGATGCAAGGAAGGCATTCCCATGCTTTGATGAGCCAGCAATGAAAGCAACTTTCAGCATCACCCTCAGATACAAGCCCGGCTATGTGGCACTCTCTAATATGAATCATAATAGTGAGTCACAAAGTATTTTACTATTCTATGCACTAGCATGGAAATATACAATAGACATTAACACATGGTAGCTTTACTAAGCTGCATGCAAAGAAGGGAGTGTGCTGTGTACAATGGAGCACTTGCTGGTTGAAGTTGTGCACTACATTACAGCTTCTGTCATCCTTCAGCCCATTCTACTCACACTTGTTCAGGAATGTCCATAGAAATACCTCCAATACAGGTAGCTACAGGAACCCATGATGTAGGCATAGTTGGTGTGTGACTCTAAACCAGCAAATAGATTGGCAGAGGGTCATTTTACAGACCCCTCATCCCTAATTAAAAAGTGCAGAGATTAGTAGAGATGTTATATTATATTTCATTTATGTTTGTTTAGCTTATTGAAAGATGCAGCAATTTAGCAGACAATGTGTACTTCCACTAGCTATATTGAAACAATAACAGAAAAATCATTTTTGTAAGCATGTTGGTAAGATTGGATATGCAACAATCACAAGTGACTCAGGCAGCCTTAGAATGACTGGTTACTGTTGTGAAATAAGATAAGGTTTTTGATCCCAAGTGTAGGTTTTTGGACTTTATGTTTGATCACTGTCCTACAGCCACAGTAGGTGTAATGACACTTGAAGACTTCGATAGTCAAGTAGGTTGCATATGTAACTATGAGATTTCCCTATACCCTAAAGAAAGTACTCAGAATTATGACAAGAAAAATGATTGTGATTTATTTGTTTCATTTAGTTGGTAGACTAAAATTTCCACTAATAAAATGATTTATTCCAATCTCTTAACATTAGTGTCAACAGTCTTCTTATCAATTTTTTGTCTTCTAGGTATTACCACTGAAACGTGGGGAGGACAGTCATGGGAGGTCAAAGTGTTCGATAGAACTCCAAAGATGTCCACCTACCTTGTGGCCTTCATAGTCTCAGAGTTCACAGCAATTGGTGATGACAGGGTGAGTGTTCTTCACTTGTGGCAGCTATGAACAACACGTTTCACATCTGACACTTAATATTCTGGAAACTAGAGAAATCCTGAATGCAAATTATTAAACACATTTACATACTAAGACAGTACTAGGGCAGAACAGTGATGCTGATGAAATTGAGTTTTCCATTGTTGACCTCTCATTCTCAAAATGCTAATTATCTGTCTGTCCTGCAGAGTAAATGAACCAAAGTTAATGGCCTTATTGATATGTTTGTTTGTTCTGGGTCACTGTCTCAAACAACCGCTGATGAAGTTTTTCTTTATTTACATAACACAGAGAGAATTCCTCTACTAACTCATTCAGCTGTGTATGTGAATATGGATTAACTGCAGGATCAGTGGCGGACCTAATAACCAAAAGGGCCCTGGTGCAAGATTTTATCTTGGGCCCCCCTCCAAAGACGGGGGGGGGCACGGGAGCGGATCACACTGGCCCAAGTGTGATCCGCAGTAGCTAATGTTGCAGTAGCATGCTGGACTTACCTGAGACCCTGCAGAGCACACCATAGATCCTGCATAGCCCACCTGAGACTCTCTATGGTGGGCTCTGCATGGTCAACCGCACCGGTTGCACCGGCGGTAGTTCCGCCACTGTGCAGGATAGTAAATTGTAGGCTATTGACAGCATAGTAACAAAATGGCTCAACATGTACTGGTTGCAAGTGGCAAATATGATATACATTCTTATGCAATAATTTCCTGAGTTATACACGTTACCCGACTAATAAGTATTTTTGTAGCTGTAATTTGTATACATATATAGTTTAGAATAATTTTCTTAACAGCCCTTAGACAACTCCTAAATGTCTCTTGTGATTTTGCACCTAATTTCACAGTCTGAATTTGTGGATATACAATGGCATATGAACAATACCAGTCTTCCATGGTTGTACATGATATTTACATTTATTATTTTGTAGGTAAAAATTTGGGGACGTAAAAAAGCTATTGTAGATGAGAAACAAGGGGACTATGCACTGAATGTCACAAAGCCAATTCTGGATTTTTTTGAGAAATATTATGGGGTTCCTTACCCTCTGCCAAAATCAGGTGAGTAATGACCTACTTGTGTAATTCCTTCTGTTCTGGATTGAGTGTTAAATATTCTATGTATCTATCTCACACAATAGGACACAAACTATAACCTGCAATCATTTCATGCACTACAATGTCTCCTTCACATGAGGATTTGCTGCTCTTGCTCCAATACAGTATCAGACAAAGAATATACTCAGAAATATAAACAGACACACTGGCCATAGGCAGCCGAGTGACTAACCGACCCGTAGCGAAGTGAGCTGAACTCTGTTCGGCTATTCAGTTCAGGCTGGTACGGCTGATTCCAGCTGTATAGCCGCTGAAATCAGCCGTACATCGGGTGGCTTCGGCTGGCTTCGGGTCGGCCGAACATGCTCAGCATGTTCGGCCGACCCGAAGTGCAGAAGGAGTTCGACTCAGCAGTGAGTGAATAGCCGAATGTGCCGAGTAGCATTCGGCTCGGCTGTTCTGCTCCGTACCTCTGTGGTACCGAGCAGGATGGAAAAACAGTTTAAAAAAGTATTAAAAAATAAAATAGAAAACGATTGGGCGGAGCTAGCAGTGGCAGCTAGCTCCGCCCAAATGTTTTCTATTGGCCGGTCGGTTCTGCTGCCGTCAGAATAATAAAAAAAAAAAAATCACCATAGGAATGCATAGCTAGATCCTATTGGCTATTTCACTTTGCAATAGCCAATAGCAAACTAGCTATTGCACCCGCCCTCTGCTGCTTTCAATCACTAGAGGGGACCTGATGGAGAACTTCAGGTCCCCTCTGCTGATTGACAGCAGCAGTGGGCAGGTGCAATAGCTAGTTTGCTATTGCAAATTGAAATAGCCAATAGGATCTAGTTTTGCATTCCTATGGTGATTTTTTTTTTATTCTGACGGCAGCCAACGGCTCCAATGTCAGAAGAAGAAAAAAAACAGAGCAGGGAAAGGTTTACTCTGCTCGATCGAGCAGGTTAAACCTTTCTGAGAGAAAGTGTTTCTCTCCCGGGCGGCCGAGAGCCGCTATCTAATAGCGGGAGACTTCCGGAGCGCCCGGTAGAGTTGGGCTGTCTGGAGATCAGTGTCCCTGGTTACCTGGTAACCAGGGACACTGATCCGTCTGTGTAAGTGGCTGGGGCCAGCCGTGGCTTCGGCTTTCACCTCAGCTCAGATCAATGGAGATCAGTGTCCCTGGTTAGCACGTAACATCACGGCTAGCTCCACCCAGCTGTCAGAAGCAGGCTGCCGCTCGGCCGACTTTGGGAGCTGTACGGGCTATAGTAAATAGCCCATACAGCAGCCCTTCGGTTCTACTGAACCGAAGGCGTCCTGGGGCCGAAGCTAGCTAAAGGATCAGCCGAAGCTACGGATAGATCCTTCGGCAGCTTAGTGAATAGACCCCCTAATAACAAAGGAAAATCTTATAAAACTCACATTTCATAAATTCATAATATTAGGATTGCATAAACAAGGAACCATTCTAAAAAAAAAAACATATAGGAGATATCCAAACTGAGTGCTCTGGTGCACACCAACATTGCTAAACTTGGTCTGGGCTTCTAAGCTTAAAAGTGATTATATTCTTTGATTATGCATTGAAGGAGAACTATGAGATGAGTGCTTTTCACTCACCTCATAGTTCTAGCCGACCTGTGACAATGAGACTGTCACAGGTCGGCTCAGTAGATCGGGAGGTGAGCAAACACATACCGGGTTCGCTCACCTCTCGATCCTGTCACGGCTCTCTGCCCTGACAGGGGGAGGGGCTGGATTCCCCTCTCCCCGCTCCGATCTGCCAGTGCTGACTGGCGGAACGGACGGGGGAGGGGGCAGGGGCGGGTACTGCTGGCTCTGCCTCTAGATAGGCAGAGCCAGCTGTCACTCACGCAGCTGGGCAGATCCCAACGTCTAAGTCGGGATCCGCTCCGGCTGCGGCGTTTCAGTATACCGTGAGCTGTAGCTCGCGGTATAGTGAGCTTAGGGTAACGGGAGGATGCTAGTTTGTGTCCTCCCGTTACCCTAAGGAGAACTATGGGGAAAAACACTGACCCCATAGTTCTACTTTAAGACAAGTAAGTCAGCAGATGATCACACCTTTAGGACAAGTCTGTCTCAGTCTGCATCAAAAAACTGTGCAAAGACATCTCCAGTTTAACATTCTCTTCTGTCCTGCAGACCAGGTAGCTTTGCCTGATTTCAGTGCTGGAGCCATGGAGAACTGGGGGCTGGTGACATACAGAGAAACCGCTCTTCTTTGGCACCCATTGGAGTCTTCCATCGGCAACAAGGAGAGAGTTGTCTCAGTTATTGCTCACGAACTTGCTCATCAGGTGCTTCCTTTATCTATTCCTTAAATAAATACCAAGACGTTATTACTATGTAATCAATTAGAATTCAATATAAGAAGAATTTTCATAACTTCAAGTAGTAGATCTATGCCAAATATAGCCAATCAGGATCTGAGTCTCGAGATCTAAAGTTGGAATGGCTACTAACATAAAAAATACAGGATCTGTCTTATCCAATCCAATGAAAATATTTAATGTCTGTGTCCACCTTGCATCAGGATCACTGGTAGTCACTGAGAGGTTTGCTATGTCTGCCCCCCGCCCCACTTGCACAATACCCAGAGATACCATTATATGCATAGCTTTCACCAAATCTTTTCTTGTTGCACTTTGTGGCATCCAATAAACTTTACTTCCTCCACGCAATGGGGGTAAAGCTGCTGCTTAAGTAAATCAACCCCAACGTGCACAGAAAGCATAATTTCATATAGCTTAAGTTTTTCCCTCAGGATATTGTGGCTGTATTCAGTCCAATCATACAACCCTGTGCAAAGGAAATTCCTATTTTTTAAACTTTTGGCTAAGTATTAAAAAAATTAAAATACACTACAGGTTCACTTTCCCGTCACTTTATTTCCCTTCCCCGGCAACACTTTTCCTTAGTTCCCCCACTGTTCTTTCAGCTTCATGTAAGAGCAGAAAAAGCCCCCCTGTGTAAGCTACAAGTCATTTAAGAGGTAATTTACACAGAGCCATAGATTCTCCCCATGTGACAGCGCTGGTGCTTGGTGCCTGGCCATGGAGTGTGTCATATGCTACTCCTAGGTCTTTTCTTTATTAAGTACATTGGAGTGGAGAGAGAGAGAGAGAGAGAGAGAGAGAGAGAGAGAGAGGGGAAGATCAGTATGTGCTACTGGGGAGGGGAGATTAAAGCTCTGACCCTCATAGGAAAAGTGCATCTTAGCTTTAAGGTTATGCTTATAGTGGCATGAAAAATACACTTTGCTATCATTTGCTAATGTTAGTATTCTGTCTCCGTTTTAGTGGTTTGGGAACCTTGTGACAATACGATGGTGGAATGACCTTTGGCTGAATGAAGGTTTTGCCTCTTATGTGGAATATCTGGGAGCGGATATTGCAGAACCCACTTGGAATTTAGTATGTGGGACATTTTATTCTTATTTTCTCAATGTGTTCTTATAACTGATTTAGTGGTAGGTATGAAGAGAAAGGTCAGTTTTGCTAGGAAAACCTAAGAAATCTAAGGTATGAACACAGATAATACAATCCTAGTAACTACTCATGGGCCAAATACTACTTTTCTGGATAATTTCCTCATTACGGCAATAAAATATGATTATTTTTTGTCTGTGCTTTATTCCCACACTGGTCAGATTTTTTGTTCTTCATTCAATACTAATGAAATTGCAATAGGGACTAACCTAATAAAAAAGCAGCTTGTTTGTGCAGAAATCTATCTTTACTTACAAGTAATAACATACATGCAATCTTTTTCATTGTTTTCTTATATAAGATATATTTCATATGATATATTACAGTATAATAAGACGAAAAAGTCAAATCGGGACCGATTTACCTATGAAGTCCAAAGCAAGCAATTTTCCCAAACATGACTGGCTGTTATGTACAGCAAATACATTTTTTTAATCTCCTCTAATTGGAGAGAGTAATAAAATATCGAGTCTGGCTTCTATCCTCGACTTGTTGTAGTACATATTAGGATATATGTACAGTATTTCATTATACTATATGAGTAGTCAGTGTGTAGTCAGCATGGTACATTCTAAACATTGACGTTTTCACTATACAAAATTTATGAAGAAATAACTGTGCACTTCACTAGTGAAAATTATGTTTTGTCTGTGTTCTGGTCACGGAATCGGAAAGCACCGAAGAAATCATTATGACTTTTGGTGAAGTGAACTTACGTTTGCTTCAAATATCTAGTCAAGTGCAGGATAAAGTATTCACCAACTAAGTAAAAAATGTCTCACCTAGTAAATCTGTTGTCCATTCTAAGTGGATGCTATGAGATGGAATTTTCAATCCTGCTAATACTTTTCTATTGCAGAAACATGATGCAATAATGGGAATATTCATGTTCTTACCAATAGAATAAGTGTGTTATTAAATCATTGGTATAATATTTCTTTTGCATGCATTTATTTCTTTATGTCACTTTATCTGTGTTGTCATCCATCTCTTACAGATAGACCTGTCAGTACTGTATGATGTACATAGAGTGATGGCAGTCGATGCCTTGGTCTCTTCCCATCCTCTTACATCAGATGAAGCTGAAGTGAATTCCCCATCAGAAATAAGTGGGCTATTTGATTCCATTGCCTATAGCAAGGTGAGTGTTGTAGCCTCTGCCACCCCACAATGCCCAGTGCTGTACAACAGCCAGGTGTATCATACTCTAATGATCTGTGAATAATATTAAGGAACATTAGAAATTGCCTTGACTATTTTTAGTGCTCTCAGCACAGGGTAACAGAATGGGTACAGCTGTGCCTGTGTGCGATCATGCAACAGTATAGAGCTCGTTTATAAAACTAGTGATCAAGAAGCATCTGCAACACCCTTATATGTACACCTATCCCAATTAGTTCCTTGCATAATGTGAAAATCCAGGAAAATGTTAACTGTACAAATGATTGTTTTACCATTCAAATGGCTTGTGATTTTGCTAAGCAACTTTTTTGTTCACATACTTCTGCCACACTGCATAGCCAGGCAGGTGACCACCCTATTTCTTGATTCAGCTTTGCAGCTTCTTGTGTCACCTTTCTGCACCCAGTCTTCTCATTGGCCATTAAACCAGCATCATCACCTCTGTGCAATGACCCAAGAAGCTCTAAAGGCGACATAAAACATAAAACAAAGGTGTTTAAATAACAAAAATGACTGGACAGAATTAAAGGAGAACTATGGGGTAAGTGTTTTTCCCCATAGTTATCCTAAGGGTCATGGGAGGACATAAACTAGCGTCCTCCCGTGGCCCAAAGCTCAGTATATCGCGAGCTACAGCTTGCGGTATACTGAGACCGCCGCAGCTGGGACGGATCCTGACATTACTGTCGAGATCCACCCAGCTGCGTGATTGACAGCTGGCTCTGCCTATCTAGAGGCAGAGCCAGCTGTACCCGCCCCCTCCCCCTCCCAATCTGCCAGTCAGCGCTGGAGGATCGGAGCGGGGAGGGGGGAGGAATACCTGCAGCGAGCCGACAGTCATGGCTCTCTGCAGGGACATGATCGAGAAGTGAGCGAGTTACTGTATGTGTACGCTCACTTCCCGATCAATTGAGCCGACGTGTGACAGTTTCATTGTCACACATCGGCTCGAACTATGAGGTTGAGTGAAAATCACTCACCTCATAGTTCTCCTTTAAGGAAACCTTTGAAAAGTAGAATGGGTAACATATATCTATATGAGATTGTAAGTAACTGTTTGCTGAGAGTTTGAATCTGTGTGGTGCAGAGGAATGTTAATAATGGATACAGCACAATCATTATTTTGCATAATTCCATCAGTAGTGTAGCTTGGCAGATGATGAAGCGTTCAGTGGATATCAACTCACCAGAATCAGGAGCAGGCATCCCAGCTGAGGGTCAAGTTGGTAACATGTGATGTGGCCACATGACATAAGGAGGAGATTTGCTCTGAAACATTCGATAAGCATGACACAGGGAAAAATCATGGGGTGGCCATATTGTCCCAGGTTGCTAAGAACTCTAAACAACCTGTGCCACTCTGTCTGGCATCTTGCCCATCTTACTGACATCACCGGTTGCCAAGAGCTGAGTGGGCTTTCCTTCTCCTGAACTCTTGGAAACCAGTGATGTCAGTGAACTGGGCGGGACACAAGACAGACTGCAGAGCCACGTCCTCCGTCATCCCCACAACTGTCCCACGGAACGACAAGTGTTCCCTATTAGCACAGCCTAACCCCCCTCTGGAACGGCATTGCCTCAGGTAGCGAAAACCATAGGGACAGCCCTACCAGAGATATACTGTATATATATTTTTTTGGCGTTGATAAAACGTTTTAAGATGGACTGAGGTGGGGGCGAGACGCTGAGGTCACTAGAGGGTTCCACCTGTAGTGACACTATGAGCCATGGTGACAATAGAAGTGACAGAATCACTGTCACTTTAAGTGCTTCCACAAAGCCTATAGTAATCGTTACCCAGATCAGAAGAGAGATTTAGTGCTTGATAAATTAAGAGTGTTGGCTACAGAGCAAACATGTAAAAATTGTGTCACACTGACAAGGGGAAAGGATTGCAACAGATGAAAAGTTAATTGCCTTGACTTCTAATTTAAAGGTTACTGCAGTCCAGGTCATATTCTAGCTCGTTGTATTTGTCAGTGAACACAAATCTCTTCACCATAATTCCCTGTTTAACCAGCTACCAAGGCATCAAGATAATGTTAAACCCCTACCATGAATTCCCCCTAATGCAGAATAATAAAGAAAGATGGAAGTTCATCTCCAATTAAGGGACCCCCTTGATAATAGCCTTATGGGAAAGGGTGGAGACAAAAATGACTGTACAATAATTTTACTACTGCAGTCCCCAGTACAAGGTGATTGATCTCAACATTTGCCACATAATATCAAAATATATGTTTTGGATGGAACTAGGCTTTAATAAAATAAACATGAGATTAAAGATATCAGCAGCTACAATAAGAATAATAACAATTTTGTTTCATGTTTTCTACTACCACTCATATACACGTTTTATAATCTGTTTTGTGCAGGGTGCATCAGTTATTAGGATGTTGTCCTCATTTCTCACTGAAGAACTTTTTGTTCAAGGACTGGCTGTAAGTATCTCCTGACTATATAGTGTTTTATAGCATTGAAAATGTGTGCTTTCCTAAGGTAAAGATTGAAAGACATTGTCCAGTCCGCTTTTCATGAATGGATACATCATGATTTCTCATCTGCATTTATTTTTATTCATGAATATTATTTTTATGATACAGCCATAGCATAGCCATAGAAAGGCAATTATTAAAATGGGCTGTGAAGTGTCTACCCATCATCAAACAAACTGATTCAGTATTAGACTCAACTGTGACCCTGATCCTTTTCTGTTCTTCAGCAGATTGGAAAACCTTAAATCACACAAGTCACTTTTGAGATTTCCACCCACTTCTGTTCCCATTGACACACCAGGGGGTCTAAGAAAATCTCTAAAGGGAAGGGAAATACCACCTGGTTATTGACACTAGTATGCCCAATGGGACATTTCCCCTCTGCACATGTTCATCAAAGTTTCTGTCCTTATGACAACTGCTAAAAGAATGGAAAATGAGCGTGGATCATTTCAACGGGGCACACAGAGGTCAATGCAAACCTAAAAGAGGTTTGACCCTTTCCCAGTCTTAAACTTGAAACGATTTTGTATAGAATTTCACTTTCAAGTGTATTTAAACCCAACACCAAAAATTTAATATATTGCAGCCTACCAATCCATACTTTTCTTTTTTAGGCATTTTACCATTATTTTTCACCAGCCAGTAACATTTCCTGTCTTAGGGTGGCTCCACTGTATGGGGGAGCAACTGAGCCACCCTTGGACAGCAGCATTGTCAACCTCTGAAGAGGGTGGTGGTAGATGCACGAGCAGAATTTTTTACTTTTGGTATATCATTCTAATCATTGTAAACACCCCTGTCTGCATTAAATGGTTTGTCTCAACCCTCTAACTGTCACCTGTGCTGGACAGCTTGGTTTGTTAAAGGAAGTTGAAACATACAGTAACAGACGTAATGAGGGGAATAATGAGGTGGAAGGTAAAGGAAAAAAGCTTTAAAAAAAAGGAAAACTAATGCAGCCACCATATCTAAGGATTGGTAAGCGCAATATAATAAATTATGCTGTCTACAAAGACTATATGAAGGGAGGCAAAGTGATCTAAAATCAAGTGTTTATTACAGTATAGGGTTTTCTTTAAATAGTTTTGGAAAGAGTAGGGAACCCCTGTCAGGCTTGAATTGGTGTCCGTGCTGTGGAGATTCAGCCACTTGTCACTGGGCCAGCAATAGAGGTGATATCTTTTAATGTAGACCCCTGCTTTTGCGCCAACTGTCTAAGAAGAGAATTACCCTTCCTTTGGATACATTTCTACTCATTTCCTGTTATGTCTATGATGGAGGAAATTAAGAAACATTTCCCAAAAGAGGCAAAGACAGCAGAAAAAAACCTTACTGGAGTTTCAACTGTTCCTTACTCTAATAACCACTATAAATATAAATTAATATGCACTGTATAATATGCAACATGTAGCTATGGATAAAATATCTGCCCCAACATAATCATAATCATGATCATAAAACATAAAAGACCTGTTCATACCGTTGGACTGCCATAATGCACACATTACCACAACACTTGGTAACATGTTATTCTGAATGGCACCCCAAAGCCCCTTCTTAGTGCATGCGTGATTTTTGGCCCGTTGTAGTGCATTGGGCCTTAGAATGGACTATCTTAACGCAACACACATTAATACGCCAATCAAAGCGCATTCATGTATGATGTAATGCAGACCAGGCTGGTTTGAATGGGCCCCTAACAGTTTTCAAAGTCTTTTTATATCATTCATACATATACAAATACCATTGTTTGATTTTTTTTTTCTAGACCTACCTGAAAGCTTTTGAATATGACAGTACGGTATACACTGACCTATGGACTCATCTACAAGCGGTAATATAACATATTTGAATATCGTGCTTATAAGAACTGAAGAATTGATTGTGTATATTATACATGTAACAAATAAATTGTACCAGTAGAAGGTTTTTTCAGGTGTACCAGTAGATCAGTGGTTCTCAACCTTTCTAGGGCCGGTACCCCTTGGTAACATTTGCCAAGTTGTGGTGACCCCCAACGGTAAAATTTAGGGATGACGCGGCTGCTGCAGCGACATCTGGTGGCGTGGCGGGAGAACTGACACTGCTGCCCTAGGAGAGGGCTGAGGAGGACTCTCACCTTATTATTGTTTATTTTTTATAATTTTCTTATTTTTTAATAATTTGTTTCTTATTCCTTTTTAATCGCTTTTTTATTTTTTAAATTATTTTATTTCTATTTCTTTAATAATTTTTTAATCTATTTTTTTCCACCTAACTTCATTGCTATCACACAGAGGTAACAAGCCCCTGTGTAATAGCAATTGGAGGTGACAGGTTCTCTTTATTGACCCTGTTACCTCCAATACAGGAGTCCTAGCACAGCACTGTGCTGGAACTTCTGTGACAGGTGAGAGGGGAAGACTGCTATCCCCTCTCACTGTGCACACGGAGCGGCAGGGTTTCTTTTAACCCTGTCGGAAAAAAAAGAGCAGAGAAAGCGCTTCTCTCCTGGGGGGCCGGAAGCCGCTAGGCGACTCCTGGCAAATCGTCATTCGACCCCCGAGGGGGTCCCGACCCCCAGGTGGAGAACCACTGCAGTAGATGGACTTTACAGCTAACATCCTCTTCCCTTATATATTTAATAATACATAACAAATACACATCAGTGCAAGGTCATCCTTACAAACTATAAAGATGATTACAATCTAGGAAAAAAAAGCTTACTCTACAGGAATGTAAAAATTGACAGAGCCACATTGTCACGGGCAAACCTGTCTTAAAGCGTTTGTAAGCTCAGACATACTGTTATAAAGATAGAGCAAATCACTGCAATTAAGTATCGTAGCAAAAACTTTAAAATAATGTCAGAACTACCTTTTTTAAATTATTGCTCTGCAGGTTATGTGACCACTTTTTCTCTGCACCCTACATGGCCCTGGTCAGTGGGTGGGACTAAAATGCAGTGACATCAGCAAAATACATCCTCCTTCCTGGGCTGAGTAGAGTAGAGCTGTCAATCACACCGGGTCCAACCCCCTAGGCACTGTTGCCTGTGATGTGGGCAGCTGGGAGGATGACGCTTCAGAGTAGGCCATGAGTAGTAGGCTTGCTTGTTATAGGACTGAGAGCATGTGCACTGTGGTGGCAACGATACAAGGGCTGTAGGAGCCTGCATAGCATTACTACCAAGAACAAAGTAGTCAGGGGGACTGGCAGGATCAACAGGTAATTTTCTCTAAAAAGCAAAGTTTATTTTAAAAAATGAAGGGCACAGAAAGATTATACATTCTTTTCAGGATGACTTTACTGCTTCTTTCTTTTTTTGGGGGAGAGGGAAGGAGGGGGGTTTACAACCACTTTAAATTTACCTGTGCCCATGCCAACTCACACACACCATAGTCATATTCACTAGCACACACACCACTGAACCCAAGATTCTCTTTATTCTGCACTTGAACCCCTGTTATAATAATTATAAATTAAAGTGATATTACAGTCAAAATGTTTTTAAGCATTTTCAAATGTGGATAAATCACTTACAATGGAAGCTGCTTCTTGAAGTTTAAAAGTTTTAGTTTCCTGCAGAATCAGCTGGTCCCCTGATATCCTTTTTTAGGGCGGCTCCTTTCCCTTGCAGGGTCCTATGGAGCGTCTCTGGTGTGTGCTAATAAGCTGTGTGTCTCTGGAAACATACATGCACTGCAAGGCAATCCACTCCCCCCTGCTCCTTCCTTGTCCCTTCTCCAAGCTATGAGGCTAGGTTCACACCTAGGCGATTCAGATGCTGAGCTGTTTTTGCGTGGTTGTCGCACGTTTTCGATTGTCGCAAGTTTTTTTCATTGAAAATCGCACGATTGTTGCGCGGTTTTTAATGTAGAGAGATGTCTATGGGACCCAAACCGCGCGACAACCGCCTGAAAATAGCTCCTGCACCTTTTCGCACGACCGGTGATTTCATCCACGCGACAAACCGCAAAGGTGTGAACAGCCTCCAATGACTTCAATGTGCATCTGTGTTTTGCACGATATCGCGCAAAAACCTAGCCTTAGATAGACCCAGCCTTAGATAGACAGCTGCTAGAGACTATGCTGACCCTTGTGATCTTGAGCCAAATAGGAAGTTCAGGGAAGTGGAGCTGAGAGAGATGGAGCCAGCTGTTCTGAAACATGATTACTGTGAGTGCTTGGGCAACAATGCAAAGGAATGCTTTCCTGAGCAATGTGTATTTGTTTGATCTGGATTCATAAATTAAAACATTTTGAGAGGTTAATAAAAACAGGATTGGTTTAGTTTGCCCTCTATCAAAGAGAGGTTCTACAGAGTGCTACACTTACATTTAGCAGAACACGATGTACACTTAGCATAACTGTGTACTGTTTCAGATCTAGAATATGTACCAAGAAAGTGAGTTGTCACCTGAAGTCTACCAAATGCTAGAACAATGTGTCAAGTCTTGTAGTGCACATTCACAACAAGCAAAATGACATCCTAATGTTGCATCTGTACCTGAGATTTTGCACTTATTCAAACAGAATACAATGTAATTTAATGAATATTAATAGCAGACTTTACTGTTTGTCTTTGAGAGGGATGGCTAAACCAAAACTCCTGAATTCTTCATTTCCTAATTTCCCCTAAAACTTTGTGCTTTCAGAAACTGACAAATTCCCTCTTTCTTATCCATCACCTTACTCGTTTTCAATATTTTGTCTCTTTCTCTCTTTTGTGATGAAAATCGAGCTTGTTCTATTGTACAGCATCAGTAACAGAGTCTTATTTTATTTATTTTTAGGCTGTAGATAAACAGAACATTGTAACATTTCCTCCTAATGAAAATGTTAGCACCATCATGGACACCTGGGTCTTACAGATGGGTTTCCCTGTGGTAACAATAGATACAGCAGCAGGTGCTTTAAGGCAGCAGCACTTCCTTCTAGATCCGGACTCAATCGTCACTCGCCCATCACCATTTGAGTAAGCTGATGCGTTATTGAACTAATAGACTAATGCAAGAGTATTTATGTTTTAGAGTAATGAATTATAGAAGCATTCAGAGGAAGGAATAGGAGTAAGCTTGAAGAATGTATCCAACCTAACTACTTTAGTACCAGCATGGTAAATCCGCTAATTACCAGACCATTTTTTAGTTTTAAATGCTGTAAAAGTTTGACTGGGAATTACTCCATCATGCAACATATAACCAAATTCATTTTATATCATTTTTGTAGACAGATCTGGCTTTCTTTTGGTGGTATTAAATAACTGCTTCTTAATTTTTTTTTACTATATAAAAGCAAAAAGACCAAAAACACTTGGAAAAATAACTGTTTCCCTAACTTTCTGTTATGAAACATATCAAACAAAAATGTCAGTACAATACAACTCACGCCCCCTCCAAATGACCGCTTTTTAGAAAGTAGACGCTCCAAGGTGATCTGGTTTTTTGACACACTTTTTTGGGTAATGAAGAAACATGCTGGTATTGAGTGGGTTAAAACATGGAGCTTGGTAATGGTGCACAAGATACAATCGATGTACAGGTCATACGCAGAGGGAGGTGGGGTGAAGGGGTTAAAGTGCAGGTCAAATACAGTGGGAGGATGAAGATGAAGGGGCCAGTGTATAGATTTGCAGGATAAGGGAGGTGAATGGGTAAATAGACAGATCAGAGCAGATATAGAATGGAGCCGACATATACAGGAAAGGAAGGTGTTTGTTAAATGGTTGAAAATGTTATTTTAATTTATTTTTTGTTGCTGCAGCTGCAGCATGTTTTCACCAGAGAACAGGAAGAGGTGCTGATACTGCGTATTTGAGCGAGTACTTGTACTCACCCAAATGCTCCGAAACCTACCCGATACCATAACTTCCGGTCAGAGGAAGATTTCCTCTGTTCGGCAGTGCTGTAGGGGAACATTGAGCCAGCTTCCCGGGCATTAGTTGCCGTCTAGCTTCCTGATTGTCCGGGAAGCCGGCTCCATGCTAAATGGCCAATCAGCATTGAGCTGGCCAAACATGGAGTTGGCTTCCCAGGAAATCATTACTTGCTGCCTGGCTTCCTGATTGCCTGGGAAGCCGGCTCCATGCCAGCGGAATTGGTATTGGTATCAGCAAGTACCAACAGCAAAAAACTATATCGGTGCATCCCTATACCAGGAACTAATTATTGGATGACTCATCCATTCATTAGTTCCGGCACTCGCCCCTGCCTCTGTTGTAAGAGGAAGAGGAGGGCTTAGCAACGTAAACATTGCCATATGATGTGATCCCTGTAATAACCAGTTCATGAGAACTCAGGGCACAGAGCCGGTCAGATCAGCTCTATGCCTGAAACTGTTGCTCTCTGCTGTATATTGACAGAAACAGAAGCGGGGATGGGAGGACATAAGCGTACTTTCTTCCGGAAACAATGGGGCTGCAGACTGGCCATATACTGTATATGCAGTGGCTGGTCCACAGGAGGTTAAATAAAACCTGTCACAGGTGACTTTAAAAAATAGTTGTAAAACAGGAGATGGCACAGCAGGAATCACATAATGTATACTGTAAAATGCATGCTTTTAATTTCTTCTAGACCTTTATGTTTAATTTGCAGTTGCTCCTACTCTTCTCTGGCTTCCATTGCTTTAAACTGCATTCTTAACAGTTATGATCTCTTTCCTCTCTGTCTCCTCCATCTATACTGCTGCAGTCTTCCTATTCCTTGGTCTCCTCCTACAATGTGTATTCATGGCTCATTCTCTTCCTACAATGTTCTCATGTTCCAGGCTAATTCTACACTTTCTTCATGGCCTGCTCTCCTACAATGACAAAATGCCCCTCTTTTTCTACAGTGTGCCTATGGTCTGCTTTCCCCCTACATTTTCCTCATGACTCGCTCTATTCCTGCAGTGTCCTTATGTCCTTATGGCCCGTTCTTCTCCTACAGTGTCCTCACAGTGTTCTCTTTGCTTGCAGTGTCCTTATGGCCCACTCTCGTTCTGCAGTGTCTCATGTTCCACTCATACTGCAGCATCATCATAGCTTGTACCCAGGGCCAGCCTTTGTGGTGTGAGAGCTGTGCGGCCATACAGGGTGCCATGGCAACAGGGACACCAGGTGGCCCGACACAGCTCGCCATGACGCAAGCTGCAGGCGGGGCTGGATTCCCCACTAGGCCACCGAGGCCATGGCCTTGGGACGGCAGGAAGTAGAGGGGCAACACAGCCTGCAGCTTCTCCTCGGATCCCTGCTGCTCTCCCCCGCCTGTATGAGCAGTGGCGGCGGGGATCCAAGGATTAATGGAGCACTGAAGCTGGCGGAGGGAGGCGGGGAGCTATGGTGGTGGAGGGTGCGTTGTCATCAGGATGGACGAGCAGGGAGAAGATTGCAGCTGATCACTCCAATGTTTGTAAAACAACTGGGGACACATTTATCTACAAGACAGAGCACTTAGAAATAACATTTTAAAGTCAATGTTGAGAAACATGAGTAGGAATCATTTGACCAGGCGACGTTTTTGCCTAGTCATGGCACCTTTTGGAATTACTGGTATTTTTATAGGAATATGCAGTTCTCCTTGAGGTATTAGTTATATAAATGATCTATAAACACCTCATACAAATAGTGACATCCTCTACAGTAGATTACATTTATATTGGAGTTATTAGTAAGTAATAACTGTATTATATACAGTAATTGTAAGTATGAAAAATTAAACATTTGCAGATTCCAAAGGTAGGATGCATAAAAACTAACATTTTGAATGTAAGATTAATCAGAGAAAGCACACACCTATGATGGGGAAGTTTTAAAGAGACCCTCTCAGCAAAAGGAATGTGTTCTATTTATATGTTAATGTAACAGAGCTTTGTTTTCTATAACTATAGCCCCCTCTATGCAATTATTTTATTGACCTACTTTAGAGTTATAGGCAGGGGAAAAAATAAAAGCCAATATAGTGGCTCCTGAACTTGGCTTCAGTGATGTCAGTGTAAATACCCTGAGCCTGTGTCCAGGAGTCTCTGCAAGTGATGGAGCAGCTGGAGCAAGTGATGGAGCAGCATTGGGAAGATCAAAAAAGAAGACACCAAACCCAATAATGTCAGAATTGTAATATGGGGCCTCTACTAATAACTTAGCAGTGAGTAAATTAGAACATTGCTCAGGGGGATTAATAGCAGTTACCAATAAAGCACCATTATATAAACATATGAAAAGAATTGTAATTATTCTCCATATATTGAAATTATCCAGTAGATGATGCCATAGTATCCATAGTTAATTATGAAGTACGTGAAGACCAGCTGAAAATTTGATTTTCTGCTTTCATGGCCATGAAGAGGTAGGTTAGTCATATTGCCTTTGAGGTCCCAGATAATTGGGAAGACCCAACTGATAGTTACATCTTAATATCACCAACCCAGAACAGTAATCAGTATTAGTATATCAGTATTAGTATGTTACTCTTTAAATAGGATTACCAAACAGAAAGTCACTACTGTGGAAGATAAGAATCTAAAAGTTTCCATATAAAAAACAGGCTGTAGTTTACTAAAATGTAATGAGTTTGTTTTTAAATCCATTTCAGGTACCTCTGGAAGGTACCTATTACCTATCTTAAAACAAATGGAGACAGAGGAAATTGGTGGTTCAGAGGACGCCTTGGTATGTAGTAATATACTATTGTTCAAAAGTATTTGCAAAGTACCATTACAAATGTGGCAAAAGGCACACACAACACAAATATTATGCACCTCAATACACTATGTTTGTGTAAATAGGCTCCATTAAAAACAGCTCATTTTCTCATGCTTATGCATTTTGCCTATGACAAAAAAATGTAGCATGCAGAAATGCATCATGTTGCTGCGTATCATGTTCTTATAAATAAACCCTTACATTGAACCTGTGCTTTGCATTTTGTCTGAAGTTGCCTTACAAGAGATTTCAAACAAGCCCTCACTGACCACTGTGGCTGCAGGCACTGTAGAGTAATTAGTTTGTTAAAAAATTCTTACAGGCAGTCTTTTTTAATGGCAGCAAAAACTGTGTATATCTCTAATATCATAAATGCTTTTACCTGCCTGCCAGCACTTTTTTTCTGTAAGTGTACACTGAGCTGTGCATGGGCAACTCAGTGTAGAATTCTGTGAAGGGGCAAGTAACTCCTGTGCACATGCATGTGAATTACAACATCATGGCCTAGCCAATCAAGATGACTGAAGACACTGAACGCAGAAAAAGAAGACTGATGGAGGGTTGTGCGGTTATTGCTGCTCATACTTCAACATTACGGCACAGAGCTCCTGGAGGCCCATTTTGTTTCTGGTGGTTTAGTTCTGCTTTATTTTTAAAGCAAACCAAACTGAGACTCTAAAGTCAGGTTTCAGACTGTTTCTAATAGCCTACTGCACCCACTCTTTGTTTACATTGAAAGACTGGCAGGCTGCCAAGTGCTGACTGCCAAAGAAATAAGGGAAGAGTAGCCATGATTTCAGTGCTTTTGTTGTGCACTTGATGAGTATATCATTACCCTCCAGAACTTATGCTGTACAGTCATAACACTGATTTACTTTAAATGACCTCAATATAAACATCTAATTTGCATTTCTCTTGCATTCCAGACCAAAATGATGTCTTTAGGGTATCTGGAAATGACTGGCTTCTGGTTAACCTTGATGTCACTGGATACTACAGGGTTAACTATGACGACAGGAATTGGGACAGACTCCTAAATCAGCTAGACACTAACCTCACAGTAAGTAGACAGTATCCTTATAAAGTAGTAAAACTGACTTTACTTAAAGGAGTTGATTTACCAAAGGAGTAGAGAATTCTTTTTTTTTCTCCTCATGACTATTATCCAAAGTGAACACAACTTCACCTTATTCACTAATCTAAGTGAACTTTACTCTTTTAGTAAATCAACCTTAACGATCGTATGGTTCTAGGTTCCCTTTTGTAAATATCATCTTCATCTTTTCTATTGTATTGTTTCACCACATAAAGTTTGCGTGATCATTTTTTCTGATCAGGTATACAATTTTATCTAATTTTGCATTGCAGGCAATTCCTCTCATCAACCGTGCTCAGATCATTGATGATGCCTTTAATTTAGCCAGGTCAGTTATAAGTTTCATTATTTCTGCAGAGAATATTTTCTTTGACTCTTCAGTGCAGTCTCACACTTAAACAAAAAAAAAAGATTTCTTCACTAACTACTTCCTGCTTTCCTATTCAAGAAACGAATGATCCATATTTGCAAAATGTTACAACATATTGGAATATGGGTCAATGTTATAAAGCTAAACTCCAGCCATACAACTAAATTTCCAGTCCAAATACATATATGTGACCTGTTTTACCTAATAAAGTATTTGTTCATCTACACCTACGATTAGCTACTGTCCCACTCTTCACAAAAAGATAACACCACCATTCATAATCTGCAGCTGTCTCTTCTAGTGTCACTCATTTGTGTCCAGCTTGCTCAAGGGACTAATGAATCTCTGTTTTTTTCTTTAAGCCTGGCACCTTCTTTTACAGCCTCTTTTACCTGAAATATACAGTATTAGACTGACAACCTGTCAGACTGGCCTATCAGAGGATCAAAGGATCACCCAGTGGGCTTTGCCTAAGGTTGCCATCTCCCCCCTGGCATTTAGATATGCAGGCTACTATATCCTTCCTTTGGTTGTCCAATTTTTGGTAATGGCAGCCTCTACTTTGGATTGGCTTGTTACCCAGCAGTGCAGATCACATCATACTCAGTTTAGGTTTCTTCTTTAGAAGTGAAATCAGTTGAGAGCCAGAGACACTAAAAACCACACACAGGAAAGTTTATGTAGGATTCATACAGGAAAAGGGGTACATATAAATATAGGATGTATACAGGTAAAGCACATACAAATATTGTGTACACAGGATTTATAAGGGGATGTACAATACAGGTTGTACACACAAAAACATATTTTCAAATGGTTTAGACGCTGTCATTTTACCCGCTGATCAACATGAGCAGTCTCTAAGCCCTCGTTCACACCTGAACGTTTTGTAGCGCGTTCTACGCTCGACGAACGCTCTACAAAACACTCAAAAATATAAATCCCATTGTATTCAATGGTCTTGTTCCCACCTTGGCGTATTTCCGCCCGTCCCTAACGCGCTACAAAACAGCCCACGTCTGAAAAGGTACAGGTACTACTTTGGGCCGTTTTGTTGCGCGTTTCCATTGGGATACAGCCAAGTAGCCTTCGGAAACGCGGTAAAAAACCGCGCAACAGACGCGCATATGCAATACGCCTAGGTGTGAACGAGACCTAACAGTGTCCTGTAAGAGCTTAACCTCTTAACAATCTCCTCTAACATGGGCAGTCTCTAAAAGACATATGTGAGTAGATTCTAACAGTTTTTTGTAGCATGTTGGCAGTCTCTGACCACCTCCTGTGACATGCGAGCAATCCCTCCCCTAGAGGTATCTTGGACCATTCTAGCAGAAATAGTGAGGTGCTAAGTAGAGTTGGATAATACGTTGCTAAAAAGCTGAATACAAAACGTTTGTGTTGAAGTAAACCCATCATGAAGGAAATATCGGTGTTTCCATTTCTAACCTCTATCTGAACATGTAAGCTGCTGGCTGTTATACTGATCCTCATAATAGTATTCCTTTAAAAAACTCCAATCCGTCTCTATTTATTTTGCCATGCCTAAAAGTATAAATCATGGCAGTAAACCATGCCTGTTTAAGCATTGCCTTTTACTTTAAGCCACCCCCAGTTTTCACTGTGCCACAATTCACGTATCAATTATCATAGAATATTGACTGTTGCAGAGCCCCTTACCTTTACTTTCCCTGGTGGGACCCTGGCACCCCCGTCTGACACTGGACTCATAACACTGTGAAATGCAATTAAGTTTACAAAGAAGATTACATATCTTGATTGTATTTTATATAGTGTAATTGTATTATATTGTATTTTAGAGCTAAATATGTTAGCACGGCAAGAGCACTTGACACTACCAAATTCCTATCCAAGGAGGTTGAGTATATGCCTTGGCAGGCAGCCCTGGGCAGTCTCAGCTACTTTGTACAGATGTTTGATCGTGCAGAAGTGTACGGACCAATGAAGGTAACCAGTCAGCTGTTATTATGAATATTAAGATTTAGTTATGACACCATCTGTCTATTAACCTTTTTCCCTCTGACTTCTATCAGGAAAGTTTAGTGTACCTTTAATCTACTCTTTGCATATGTACGTTTTGCTTCTTCATAAAGAGGAATGATGAATAAACTCTGGTCATTAAATTTTTTTTAAATATTTCACATTTAGGAGAATTTAGATTTTCTTTTTTTCTGTGGGTATCTTCAATATACACTTAGTGGTCGGATTATTATGACCACCTGACGTTTGTAGGCAAATTAGCTATAATTTCGCACTGAAGTTGCTAGAGGGCCAGACCATTATCAATAGTGAAGCAGGTTGTTTACCACGACAGTAGAAGTGATTTTTTTCTGAAGATATGGGTAAACAACGCAATTTAACAGCCTTTGACTGTGGGATGATTGTTGGCGATGGGGGCAGTGTTCAAGCTGGTGGGGGCAGTGTTATGGTTTGGGACATGTTTTCCTGGCATGATTTGGGCCCTTTAATTCGTGTGGAACGTCTGAATAGCACAACATAGTTCATCCTATCATGTTGATGGCGTATCCCAATGGAGATGGCTTCTTCCAACAAGACAATGCGCCATGGAACGGTGCTTGTAATGTGCAGGAGTGGTTTCAGGAACATTAGGGAGAATTTACCTTGCTTAGGTGGCCCCCACAATCACCAGATCTCAATCCAATTGAGCATTTGTGGGACGAAGTTGAAAGAACCATCAGGCAGCTGGCTCCACAACCATCAAATCTCACAGAACTGGACAGTGCTATTCATCAGGCATGGTGTCAGATTCCTCGCATCACCTTTCAACATCTCGCGGAGTCAATGCCAAGACGAATAGCCGCAGTATTGAAGGCAAAAGGTGGCCCAACGAAGTACTGATGGGGTGGTCATAATAATCTGGCAACTCAGTGTAGAGTAGGGACATCTATTCAGCACATAATAAACTACAGACAAAAACACTCGTAAAGAAAAAAGACCCAAATCTCCACAAACTGTCCTCCTAACTTGTACTTGATAATTACTTGCACATATCACATAGCATATGGCCAATATAAACCAAGAATGTGATGTTTCTTTACAGGCTTACATGGTACAGCAAGTTAAACCATTGTTTGAGTACTTCAGGAACAAGACAAATGACTGGGCCAACAGACCAGCAACTTTAACAGAGCAGTAAGTACAATGGGATAGTTATCTACTTAGTCTGGTGCTGAGGCTGTAAGAGATGTAAGCACAAGGTAATGCAACGAACTCAGGACCTCTAGTTTTTTTCAAAAGAAGCTTTAGGCCAACAGGCTACAGACTATAGACTTAAAGGAGAACTATGGGGTCAGGGTTTTTCCCCATAGTGCTCATAAGGGTCACGGGAGAACACAAACTAGTGTTCTCCCGTGACCCAAAGCTCAGTATACCGCGAGCTGCAGCTTGCGGTATACTGAGACGCCGCAGCCGGGACGGATCCCGACAATACTGTCTGGATGCACCCAGCTGCGGGATTGACAGCTGGCTCTGCCTATCCAGAGGCAGAGCCAGCTGTGCCCGCCCCTCCCCGTCCGTTTCGCCAGTCAGCGCTGGAGGATCAGACAGGGGAGGGGGGAATCCCTGCAGGGAGCCGTGAGTGACAGTCACAGCTCTCTGCAGGGATAGATTGAGAAGCGAGCGAGCGCCGGTATGTGTTCGCTCACTTCCCGATCTACTGAGCCGACCTGTGACAGTTTCATTGTCACAGGTCGGCTCAGATTATGAGGCTGAGTGAAAATCCTTCGCCTCATAATTCTCCTTTAAGGACACCACTTTACACAGTAACTTGATGACAATTTAAAAAAAAAAAATCCCTAGAGCAATGCTTTCAAGAATCCACGGAAGACATGGCCTACCACACATAGTACAATTCCCTGCTGTGAATGCAATAAAAGATGTTTTGCTAAATTGCACACAATTCTGACTCTACATACCAGGACACTGGGCTTCATCACACAATTTGTTTGGTGTTGTTGATAATATGGCATTGTATATTGCTCCAGCTTAAATGGGGAAGTCTTAAAGTGGAATTTTACAGTAGGCAAGACAAAGGCTGGGATTTGACCCTAGGAGAAAAAGTATGCAAAGCTCCAGAGCAATGTATACATCTGAGTAACTGTCCCCAACAACAATTGTATTTCTCAGCTCTCCCAGAACCCAACCTAGTGTTTATGCAAGGCTTAGTAGGTCATTGCTAGTGTTAACTGCTGTAGTTCCCACCACTGTGCATGTTGAACTGTCTTTGTGACCCCCAAAACAACTAAGGCCATGTTAAAAACATGATTCAAACATAACAAAAGTTGGATGGAGCTTCACTGAGAGTGGGCAGAGCATCATGGCTGCAATATATGTATTAAATGTTATTTGCTACAAATGGAATTTTACATAGTATAATAGGCTTGCTGTACTACTCTAGGGGAAAATGAAATGGGAATTTGATAGCTTTCGAGAAGCACATTTACTTTTCTATCAATATCTCTCCAATCAGCCGCACGAAACCGAGGTCCATAAAAATCCAACTTTATTGTTGTAAATTCCATGCAAAGTTCAAAATACAAGGTATACACCACCATAGTATCTCTCCCACGCCAATGCCTCTCACGCGTTTCGCCACTTGAGCTTAATCATAGACCACTTTCACCACTTCTATAATTAAGCCCAAGTGGTGAGACGCGCGAGAGGCGTTGGAGTGGGAGAGATACTATGGTGGTTTATACCTTGTATTTTGAACTTTGCATGGAATTTACAACAATAAAGTTGAATTTTTTATGGACCTCGGTTTCGTCCGGCTGATTGGAGAGATATTGTTTGACGAGTGGGAGCACACTGCAGCCTGCACCTGATGTCTGTATTATTCTGCATTCTGGTGGAATTGGAGCAATGAGTCTTCTGATTTCATCGACATTTATTTTTCTATTTGCTAATTCTAATATTGCAACCATTGTAACCAGTGCTTTTAGGCTAGGTTGATCGTGCACAAAACCGTGCGGATTGCCAGGCGGTCACAGAGTCGCAACCACAGCCTATCGCATGTACATGTACCTTTTTTCAGTGATTGCTGCGCAGATGTAACCCCCTTGAAATAATGGGGCCGTGCGGCAACCACTGTGTGCACAAGCACACGATCGCGCGGTCCCGAATTGCGCATCCCGGGTATCGCTCATATCTGAACCTAGCCTTAAAAGAGAACTATAGGGTAAGTGGTTTTCCCCATAGTTCTCTTTAGGGTCACGGGAGGACATATACTAACCTCCTCCCGTGACCCAAAACTCAGTATATCGCAGGCTATTGCCCACGATATACTGAGAGCGCCGCAGTCGGGCCGGAACCCGACAATATTGTCTGGATCCACCCAGCTGCATGAGTGACCGCTGGCTATGCCTATCCAGAGGCAGAGCCAGCTGTGCCCACCCCCACCCCTGTTCGTTCCTCCACTCAGACCTAGAGGATCGGAGAGGGGAGGGGGGAATCCCTGCGGGGAGCATTGAATGACAGTCACCACTCATTGCAGGGAGACGATCGGGAAGTGAGTGGATCGGCTGCATGTTCCTGCTCACTTCCCAATCAATAGAGCCGACCTGTGACAGCTCCCTTGTCACAGGTCAGCTCTAACTATGAGGATGCGTGGAAATCAGTCACCTCATAGTTCTCCTTTAAGTTCTCAGATATGACCGAAAAAGTAAGTTAAATAGCTTTTCACAACGTCTTTCTATTTTTGTATAATTTCTCTACAGATACAATGAAATAAATGCAGTCAGCACAGCCTGCACCCATGGTATTAAGGAATGTGAAGAGCTAGCGGTTAAACAATTCAGTGACTGGATGACAACTGGTGTAAACAGGTACATATTTACAATACGTTGAAGTTGTGCTTTTAGTAAATAGAATACTACTTTATATCCTGCAGTTCAAAAAAATATAATCTCGATGAATTTACACTACTACTACTACTGGCCCCTCCCTTTATTTTACAAACCAGGCTCATGAAATACTGGCTGGATAGGAACCTAAACATTACTGTAAAGTTATAATGCCAATGCCCTTACCTGAATATAAATCTAGTACTGATGCTAAAACTATAGATGAATATCATTTGTGTGTATCCACAGAATTCATCCCAACCTGAGAAACGCCATCTACTGCAATGCAATAGCAAAAGGGGGAATAGAAGAGTGGAACTTTGCTTGGCAAGAGTACAAAAAGACAGATAATGCACAGGAAGCAGATAAACTGAGAGCAGGTCTGGCCTGCAGCAAAGAACCCTGGATCCTTAATAGGTAAGACGTCCATTGGAATATTTTGAACAATATTATACTGAACTGCAATTATTATCATGCCTTTATTTATTTGTAAATGATTAATGTTCTGCAGGCTTACTATATATATTATATTATATTTGCCTACTCATGCACTGCAGGTTAAGAAGCTGTGAACCTGTGTGAGGTCATTTGCTTGGCCTCTGACCCTAAAAAAAAAACCAGACACAGGCAATGTAATTAAATCTAAAATAGAGGCTGATGTAAATCTCTCATATGTAAGCCTGGACAAGTGTAACAATTTAACTCGTGACTGTTTCTATTTAAAGATGAGCTCTGGGAAAAAAATACCTTTGCAATAGGGCTTTCCCTGCACTGCAAGTGTTAAATGCTCATTTATGCCTAGGATACCAGTAAAAAGGACTAAAACATACCTGATCCCTTGCTCCCCTGACAGTCGACACTCAACTCTTCTCTCTGACACTCCAGGTTGTGGGAGGTCTCTCTGCACCCTCACGAACAAATGAGGGCTATTGATGAGGGGACTTTGGTAGTCAGTGAGTGGGAGGGGGGTAAACCTGTACTCTGTGAGAGGAGAGGCACTGATGCTCTGTGGAGGGAGAAGGGGTGCCC